ATAGATCTATTCCTGAAAAGACAGCCATTACAAAGTTGAAATAGATTAGTGTAATTTAAAATATCACCAGGCACTATACTTTTTAGGAACGATTCTCTGTAAGCCAGAGGATGGAGTCTTTAGGAATTCTCTACGGCAGGATATTTGGTTTAATCTGTTCCATTCCGGTGGCAACATTTCTTATGATGCATAAGGGCACTGGCTGTGAGAAACCAAATTTAAATTCAATGGATAGATTAGCAATTTCAACAAAAGCTATTCGCTGTCTAATCACATCAGCCTCTTCAAGCAAAAAATGAGAGACCAAACATACTTGCGCCTCGGGAGATGTGGCCAACGAACATGATCCGATTCGACTCTCCCTAAGATAATAATCTGAATTGGAAAATGTGAAAGGTAGTCAATCCTGGATGTGTATTCCATATTTATTGAAAGAAAAGTACAGCGAAAGATAATGTGTACCTTATTTCGTAAACTGCCCAAATACAAAGATCTGAATCACTAATCGCTCTAATCAGTGTATTTTTGGTATCAGATGATATTATATGTAATGCTATTTCGGTCGAAAAGGCATATTGCTACAACTACAACAAATGTTTCCATACAAGTAAGAATTGTCCCCAAATTTAACATCCTATCGCCACATTAAACCGAGATACAGAATAGGTTAATGTTAGAGGCCACGTTAAAATCTCATTTAACAGGTGGCTGTGGCTAAGTAATGCAAAACTTAGTTTGCCAACGAAAAATCGCAGTTAAATTTGGCAAGTTTCTATGCAGTAACAAGTTATTCCAGCCATTTCTGGCTTTAGACAGGCATGATACGATTTTACATATCAGGATTCATTTTAACTAACTTAAGAGAATATTCGAAAGCAGTTCAGGAACTCCTTCAGGAATGTATAGAGTGTAGTTGTGCTCGGCGATTATATACATCAGCCGGGGTTGCTCAATACCGCGAAAGGGAGCCTCCATAGTTAAAATCTCCCAGAGCACCACGCCGTACGACCAGACGTCGGATTTGTATGAGAAGCCACTCTAGAAAAGCCCATATTTCAAGCAAAGATAGGAAAAAATAGTAGAAAGAAATTATAGAATAAAATTAACGGAGAAATAAATAAATTTAAGATATCGTAAATAAAAGAGATGGACAAAAATAATTTTTGGAGTGGAATCTTTTAGATTATTTTAGTTGCAGAAAGATTTGAAGTAGCAAAGAATGCATACAAGAGCGAAACTCCAGAATCAAAATGAAGTCGAATTGAAATGTAGGTTCAAGCTGAATTGTGCTTGAGGATAAAATTTATGCTATCTTGTAAATGAGGATGATAGATTACCAGTATGTGGTAAATGCATCCTGCTATATAAAGCCTCAAATCTTTTTCGACCATTTTCTAGCTAGGCTCGAATAAACGATGAATTCTACTAATGCTACATTTGCATGTACTTATACCCAAGTGCACCGAAATACACATGAAGTTGAGTACAAATTGTACCAACTTATGGACCAGTATGATCCATTATTGTATTTGGATTAAGTTTTCTGTATTTCGCAATTAGAGAAGGTTTTTTTATCGGAATCAGATATCGTCCAGAGACGTGTAGGCGCAATGAGCAAGCAAGTACAGATTACAAAGACTTCGAGCATTAACGAGCTATCCCAAACATGTATTCTTATAATTGGAACAAGTTGACGTAACGTTTTGTATCAAGATTCCTTTTTCCATCAAGGCATGACAGAGGAAAGCGTTATTGTTTCTTTATACATTGTCTTGACGCTCCAATTTCTCAGTAATCTAGCAATCTTTCCTGAAATCTTACATGATGTTATTTTCGAAATCATTAACAATTAACCCTAATGGATAATTATTCTCAAGTAAAATTATTCTTAGCTTTTCTA